ACTTTAAATAAATATTTATCATTTTTATTATTTTATTTAACAATGGTTGAAAAATTTTGAATTGAAAGATATACAATTTTTTACATTATATTAAAGTACGTAATACTTCTTAGCAAGATAGAAAATTTGTGCGAAACCGGTTGAATAGTTCTTGAGAAACGACTGAATCGTAAAAAGAGAACCCACCCCGATCATTTTTTGTCCAAGACAGGTGTTCTGAGACGGTCTTCTTGTGGTTTACAGTCAAAAATATGCAGACTACAGGGCGCCTGGCAAACAGGGCACTTGCATTATGTCTCTGGGAGACTGTTATCCGTAAAATGAATGTTTCTTTTACATTCTGCAGGTTGAGAGACAGTTTTGTCGCTTTCGCGGACCTATCCCTTTTAGCTAGAAGTCCTAAATAATGGTCTTAAGCCGGCGTTTCTTTTTTGCAGCCTTGACTAAGTCGGCGGGGCCCCTATTCTTGCTTCTGTGAACTGTTTTCATAGAATGAACACCACGTTTCTCGAAACCCCGTGGTCCGCCCCTGGTTGGCCTACCTCGAGTCTTCCAACTATCCTCCATTTTGTGGCATTGTATAGACGATGACGACTGGCCATACCAACGATGGGTAAGCAAAGATATTTAAAAAGCAAGGATTAGGCTAGGTTACGATGCTTCAAAATGTCCTTACGCAACAAGCTTCGGCGAGCAAATGAGATACCTCTACACAAACGCGATCACAGCACCGCTGCTGCTCGACGTCACACACTACTGCGAGACAGAAGAGTTCACGAAGAGCTTAGTTATCATCTTATACCCTATTTGCGTATAGGCGCTACATATTTTGTTCTTTTTTTTTTAAATCGTTTCTCTCTTTAATTGTTTTATTAGTGTACCTTTACAGTCTATAAATATTTGCCTACACAAGTTGGCTTCATAAAATGGAAATTCAATGCTTCTTCAATAATTTTAAATTTTTTTTAAAAAATGTTACATGAATTAGTATAGCATATAGCAAGCTCCTTTTGACTATCCTTAATTAAAAAAAACTTGCTTATATTAAGAAGCTTTGTAGAAAGAATCATTAACACTTTTGATTACTTCCTGCATGACAAAAAAAACTACACATATTAATAAAAAGAAAACATAAAAAGATAAAAGCAAGAAAAAACACTCTCCCTAAAAAAACCTATTCAAATTTCAATGGGCTACTTCAGCAACCTTTTTTCGGCGAAACTAATAATTCCTACTAAAACACTGATGAGAATGATTAAGAAAAAAACTCTCACCAGGGTAAATAAGCTCAAATAACTCGCCAAGGTCTTAAAAGAAGCTAAAGGGAGGGAAATAAATTCCTTCAGAGCCCCCACACTCTCATAATAATAGCCAATGATGTAGTGAGCAATGATTGTTAAACAGTCCTCATCACCAGCTTGATGTTAGCAATCCAGAAACAAAGGGCGATGGGGGAAAGAAAAAGGGAAAAAAAGGGATTTTTATTATAACGTCGCCAAGAGTTAGATATTATGGATTTTGGCTTTCCTTGAAATTTCGAGAGGAGCCGGTCGATTAGAGACAAGAGGGTTCATTTTCTTTGGCTCATTATGCGAATTCGGCCGTTCATAATTGCTTGGGGTATCGGATAGGAAAAGAGGGTTCAATTATTGGCTAATTAAATTTTTCGCGGGCTGGTGTGATAAATGGCATCACCTTTTCGTCAAGGCAGCGACGGAAATTCTTCCTTCGTCTTCTTGCAATGAAGTACGGAGTATAAGGAAAATTCTCGAAAATTAAATATACTGAAATTACCCCATCATCTCAAACTGGAAACTTGTTTTGAACTTAGGATAGATTTTTCAGTGTTCCTTCCTCGATGTATTAATACCAAAGGACAAATAATTTACGTGCCGAGTTATTAGATATAATTGTTAGTGTTTAAAGTAGTTTATAAGCTAATTTAATCTATACATTTGCTAATTATAGAAAGAAAAAAAAACAAAAATACAACCTTCTCTCAAAATTGTCTATGCTATTAAAATTTCATGCAGTAATTTTCTAATCATTTTTGTTCTTCGCGACTATGTTTCAAAGATATTACGTTATAAGATATATATTTTCATGTTTAAGCTTTGTACAATTAAAGTGCTCTTACCATCATAACTGTATGAACAGAACTGTATTAATCAGAAATAAATATAAGCTTTAAAAGGTGAACGACATTTAATAATCGTGTTTATAAGCAAATATTTCGAAACGATTCGTGCCTGTGTTGAGCAACAAGTTTCGATTTGTTAGTGGGATTATCATTTTATATTGTTTATTCTACTAAACTAACCACCCTTAGAAAATCTTACAACATTTATCTTTAAACTTGTGGCTATGCCAATTAAAGACTATAGATCTTTTTTATTGATAAGATTTTTTTTTAAAAAAAGACTTTTAAACATGCATAGGTTCGGAGTAAGACCTAGAGGACAAAAAAAACTTGACCCAATGATATATTAGCTCAATTTTTCTGCTAAAAGTACAGTTAACATACTTTGCATCTGAACGATACATTTGCATCATACAGATGTCGTAAATTTGATAAACGTCGCTTTATTATTGATGTAAATATAATCCTTATTTTAGGGTACATTTAATATTTAAAGATGTCCGATATTGATGCCGATATTAATGACGAGGGTGTTTAAATTTATCTTTATGTTTCATCGTAATAATAGCGTAAGGAAAAGGTGCGTTATGATGGTTAAAGTATTCAAATATGTCTAATATTTACGGCAAATCCATAGTTTTCAAGTTCGCTGCTTTTTGTAAACGGGGATACATACTTCTAATGCTGTTTAAGTTCATGTTTTATTAACATCGAAATATCAAGGGGAAATGGTGCCGTAAAAAATAAGCAACTAGATTCTGAAATATCCGATTAGTATATAATTCATATTTTTTTATGTTTTTAATGAAAATCATGATAGATTCTATGTTATTTAAATTCATACTAAGGTTATGTCGTTTCAGGAAACGAAATAAGTTAATTTATAGAGTGAACACATCAATATTTAACCGTTCGTAAAAGTAACAATTGTACACATATCAGTCTATAATTATTAGCGTGGTCATTTACCAAATGACCTTTAGACCAAATATCATGCGTCGTTGATCCTGATTTTTGAAAATCAAAACCGTATTAACAGTATCGTAATTTAAGAGAGCATTATTTTTAAGAAACCTTTTCTAAAAAAGTAGTTTAATAGGGCTAATTCTAAACAATATAAGGAATATACATTTATAAAAACTTAGTTCATTTATTTATTTCAGGAGTTTTTAGTTGTTGTTTCTTTATGTCGCATTAAAGCTGCACGATGGAGTATAGGCGACGATCTGGGAAACATCCCTGAGGATGATCCAAAGAAATGTCATCACGATTTCAATCCTCTGTAAAGAGGATGGCTCCCTCGCTTCGATTGCCCAACGACCAGCTCGAGAAGTCGAACATTTTCCAGTAGAACAGTGTAAAAAAGACCGATACCGCACACCCTTGGTCACTTCGTAGCCTGATCAAAGCAGTCTATCACCCGTACACTGCCCTCACCCAGTGATCCCTTACTTCGGTGTTCTACGAAGAACCGTGTCTTACGATCAGTTCACTAGGGGGGGGGGCAAGTGATTTAAAAAAAAATGTTTCAGTGGTGTTGAAATTTGCAGTTTTGAAAAAAAGAGGGGAAAAAACAAACGTTTACTGAGAGCAAACACAGAATATAGATAGAAATAGTTTTAAAACCGTTAAAATCTTGCGGTGATCTCGTTTCGAGTACCGGAGAGCTGCTACAGCCAATTGACGATCTTACTCGCAACAGAATTGATTCGGTTCCTCTGATGGTTCCCTGTGTCATTCTTTCGGAGAATCACAAATCTAAGTTGCGTGTAGGTCGAGCCTGTAATCTTCTGTACGAAATCCCCCCCCCGTCCCTGAACAAAATTAAACTGAATTCAGAAAAACTCAGCAAAAGCTTTTTTCTTCTCTTCTTTTTTTATTGTTAGCCCTCATTTAGAATTCTAATGAAGTCTGACAATATTACGAATATATATATTTAGATTTTATTGAAAGTTAAGTTTTTAAACTAGCAGTTTTTAATTTTTATATTTGGCAAAAGGCATATTTTAAAAGTCGAAATTTGAGCACACAACTTTCTGTCAAAATCTGAACTTTATTATGAAAACGAAATTGAGATACGTGATATTTAGTCCAAAAAAAAACCTGCTGTGATCTTACAAGAAATAATTATTTTCATTGAATAATATGCTATTGCCGTAACAATTAGGGCTGACAGGTATTTAGGACTGCTAGGTTTGAATCGCTAACAGAGAGTACTTACAGTGCTAACAATTAAAATAATGTAAAAGGCCATTGTAAAGATAAACCAATGATTTGTAAAAATAAAAACCATTTGTTATCTAGTTTTTTAAAATTTGAAAAATTGCTTCAACGTCGCACTGTCTGGGCTTATATAAATTTGAAGAAACAAAATTTAAAATACTTCACAAATTTTTTGTTTCACCAAAATTAGCAACTATTAAAAAAAGGTTTAATGTTGCTTTAAATATTTTAGCTTTTCGTCCGTTTTTAAGTCCAGTCAATTCTTTTGAACAAGGCAGAAATAGTTTAAAAATTAAAACTTTGTTTCTATTTAATTGCACTAAAACCGATTGTTTGTTAATATTTCTTCACTGAAAAGCTTCGAAAAACATCCTTAATGTAGATTCTGTTGTAAATTATCTATTCTATTATATTCCTGAAAAAATCATTGCAATAAAAAGTTTAAGCAATCAAACAGTTTGATTGCTTAAAGACTTTCTTCAAGAGTTTGTTTGTTAAGAATTTGTTTTAAGATTTTGTTTGATAAGAATTTGTTTCAAGAGTTTGTTTGATTAGAATTTGCTTGTTTGTGTGTTTGTATTCAATGTTAATCAATAATTTAAAAGTAACTGATTTTATTGTTTCTTTACTATTTCAGATAGACCTGTAGCGAAATCGCAATCTGCTGCTCATGTTTGTACGTGGACAAAGTTCAGTATGGCGTTATTAGTTCTCCTTTTTCGCCAATGATATAAGTAGTGGCCAAGTAACTTATCCACTGTGCCTGACGAAGCAGTAGTCGCTTTTTGAAGTTAGAGGATTATGTAACTTCGAATCAGCAAAGCTGTTTATTATTTCATGGAACAACTGTCGGAATATTCAACGAAAGTTGATATGATTGTGAGCTTTTTGCCAGTAATACTTAGTGAGGACCTATCATACCCGAACATGTCCAGTATGAAGTATTATAGTTACTGGAACTACAATAAAAATCAATCAAGATGTTTGACCTAGTGGGCACTGATTTTCGATCTGTATATCGAGAAGTATTACATCTAAAGAGTACATGTTTTTTTTTCGATTTGACAACAATGCGTTGAATAATTTCATAAGTAATTGCACATTTTGTTTAATTTCTGCAACAATTCAAGGTTACAAAACAGTTTCTGCGGATATTTAAAAAGCGCTTACTGGTGCTATATAAATTTATTAATCGTTGTTCATATTTATAAAACATTCAGAAATTGTTTGAACATTCTAAATTGCGTTTTTAACAAAAACGTAAGACAAAATAGTAATATATATATAGCATTCCTAAAAAATCTAAATTGTTCCACGTACAACCACCTGTTATGTTTCTATGTTTAATAGGTAAAGAAAAACGTGTTTCTAAGTTATTAAACTAATGATACTAATGAATTATTAAATAATATATTCTTATTGATTTAGTTAAGTATTATGTATAAAGCGACAAAAAGTGTCAAAACTTTTGAGGCAAAAAATGTAATTAAAATTTTTTTCTTCAATTCAAAAAAATACAAACCGTCTGTATTTAATAAATATTTGATGAATTTTGAAGAGAAATTTAGATCTGTCTTCAAAATTTGTTTCGATTTTCGTAATCTTGTTCTTAAATATTTCTCGATCTGAAAAGAAATTATTGTGCAGTCACAGCTTTTTATTTCAACGCTTATAAGTCGAAGCTTTAAGTTGAAAAAAAAATTTATGGTCTTAAAAAAAGTGCCAAAAAGACTGTTGCTTGGTGATGATTTTATTTTCAATATTGCTGTACAAGAACTGTTTGAAATATGAAAATGACTTATGTCCTTTTCAGAAAAAATTAAATGGCTTGGTTAATATATTTTAGACAGATAAATGTTAAATTTTAGGTTTAAATTTAAAATACCTTACAAACATTTAATTATTTAAAATTTCTTTACATGTTTAGTAAATTAAGTTTGAAAAACATTCAGTTACTATTATTATTAGTTTTAAGAATTTAAAGAAATTAGGTTATTAATATTATTCCTTTATATCCTTTAAAATTTATTACATTTCACAAGTTTAATCTCAATTTTGAGTGTCAAGAGAGCAGGTTTTAGCAAGTTTAGTTTCAAATTAAAAAGTATTAATTTCAAATTAAACTAAAATTCATGCACATATTTTTTAAATAAACAAGAGGTGAAAAATATGCAGACACCAAATAAGTAAATAAAGTTACAAAATGCGAAATGTTTAGAACAAGCACACTTAAGTTTTACACAAGCATACTATCTTGATGATGAAATCCAAAATTAATCCAAAAGAACAAATTATCCTAAAATAATTAAATTTGAAATTTTATATCATTGTGAATCCGTAACTGTAGCCTAATTTTAGGAAACTGTGATTTTAAGTCGCATTTTTCTTTTCAATAAATTTTTTAAAAAATTATGCATTACAAAACGGTGCTTTTTCCATTGACTTTAGTTCGAAGTGGTGAACTTGTTATTTGCAATCGTGCAAAGCTATTGAATATACCCCATGTAATATGTATAAATGTGTCCTACACAATGTTCATAAACCATTGCATTATTTTGCGTTAAAAATAAAAGAATTTATTTATAAACAATAATGCAAATCTTTTTTCCAGTTACTGTTAACCAAAAACATGTATATACTTATAGTGTTAAAACTGTTGACAAATACATTTATTTATAAGACATATGAACATTTGAGTTTATTCAAATGTGAGAAAAGTTGTTTCTCCTCTGAAAATATAGAAGTATATGTTTAACATAGGGAAAAGTTTGTTTCATTTACGTTGGATATTTTGTTTTTTGATATCGTTGTTGACACGATAACGTTATAAACGATAAGTTTTTAACTTTCATTTTCGATTTTCAAAAGACGTTTAAAATATTGAAATAATTGTAAGAATTATTTAAATTCAAATCTTCCTTAGAAAATAAAACTTCTCTTAAATTTTATTTAAAGATTTTAAAAAGACAAAAGTATGTTTTTATAGTACATTTTGAGATTCTTTTACCCTGGTATTATCAGGGTGTTCCTTGGAGACTGCCCTGAATGTATATTTACAGAATTCTGGTCAGGAATGAAGTTAACATTTAAACAATGCAGGTCTAAAATTTATATTTTAGCTAAAAAAAAGTTCTATCCAAATCTAACGAATTAGTTTGGGAAGGCGAGACTGAAAACATTAAAATTCGTTTAATGGCGGAGGAAATAGAGGAGCAGAATTATTGTTATTGTTAATGTAGTTCATTTACGTCGCACTAGAGCTGCACAATGGGCTATTGGCTACGGCCTCGGAAACATCCCTGAGGATGATCTGAAGACATGCCACTACAATTTTGATCCTCTGCAGAGTGGGTGGCACCCCTGCTTCGGTAGCCCAACGACCTGCATGCGAAGTCGAGTACTTTACGGTAAAACGGTCTAACGAGGACCAATACTACACACCCTCGGTCCCTAAGCTACGACTGATCCAAGCGGTAACCCACCCGCACACTGACCGCAGCCAGTGATGCTTGACTTCGGTGATCTGCTGGGAACCGTATCTTAACGATCAGTCCACTACGGGACACAGAGAAGTAGAAAGGATACTACAAAAAAAATTTCACCAGATAAACTAGTTTTGATTATTTCAGTCTACCTTCCTTATTAATGATTTTTTTAAAATTTTAATATTTTTTTTCTCGCTTAATAATAATCGTTACATCTCTAATGCTATGTTTTTAGATCATTTTTTATAAAGATTCTTGAAATACATAATAAGAGTTGCCATTACGGAACACCCTGACTAATTCAGTGTAAAAACTCTGGAACATTTCTTATTCGCTTTAAAAGAAATTCTAAATAATATAGATCATATTATTTTATACTAAATAATATTTATGTCCACATTTTTGCTCAAAAAAATAGATTGTTTGCAAAAAGCAATTTTTTCATTCTTGTTTTGGGACAGTTTTTCGTTGATTTGATTTGATCATATCAACTTCAAGAAAGTTTTAAGTTACAATTTATATTCTGATTTAGATTAATATTAGCAACAAAAAACAAGTGGAAACAAGCATATTATATCTATTTGTAAATTGCAATACCAATTTTGCAAATTCATGATATCAAGTGTTTCGTGATTAAGTCTATAGTAGTTTTAATTACTTTGAGGATTTCTTATTCAGTTTTAAAAAAATATTTATTATTTTAAACAATATCAACTTGTGTACAAAAAAAGAATTTTTTGTAATTTAGTTTCGATTTAGTGAATATTTCACTTGTTGTAAATTAATTTTTGATACAATGTAAATCAGCAAATAGATCAGTTGTAAACTTGCTTAAAGATTATAATAAAATGTGTTTTTGTTACTTTCTTTGTATTTAATTTAACATATATTTATTTGAATATCGATGTACTCCTTATTCAGAAATAACACAATTTCAAATGAACACTACGAAAGTAACTAAAAATGGGAATATTTTTAGGTACTCAGGATTTTATTCGCTGAATTCGATTAAATAACATGTACACAAAATATGATATTGAGTTTTATAATAAAAATAAGATCTCGATCTGTCTAATAATAAAAATCTGTCTTATAATAAGTCTTATAATAAAAATTTATCCATTTACTTACTCACTGAATTTAATGTAACAAATAAATTAATATACCTTTATTTTAAGTCTCATTATAAAAAAATATGCATTAATTAAATCACTAAATTTGATTAAAAACAATAAATCGATTCATGAAATTTGATATCAAATATTTTACTAAATAAAATCAATTTACTTTTTGTATTTAATGAAATATATAAATCTTTGATAACTCTCATAACAAAATTAAATTTATTTCTGCTGTAGAAAAGTACAAATACATGCTAAAATGAAACTAAACAATAAAGTAAGTCAGTTTTTACAACCATACCTGAATGGATCTCATGCTTCGTATCTTGATTTTGTAACTAAAATGAAGAAAATGAGTATAGTTTCCTTTAAAAATGTTTATAGTTCGGGTGTTTGTGGTTTATGTTAAGGCATAGAGGTGACATGATTACTTGCACAGGAAAATAAATTTAAAACTTATTTATTCATTTGTACAACATACATTTTCAGACTTATGTGCTCAATTAAGGCTTATAATCCTTTGTCAAGTAGAAGGACAGATAGCACAATACAGAGAGGAACAGAACGAAGATACGTCCACGGTAACAGCGGGATTCGAACTCGCTACTCCATGCTACACACAGCGTTTGACGGTCAATACCACTCAACTCAATCACTGAGACTCCTCAAAACTGGTTAAAAAGGTCATGATCATTAGTTATATTTACGTCACATTAGAGCTGAACAATGAGCTATAGGCGACTGTCTGGGAAACATTCCTGAAGATGATCCGAAGATATGCCATCCCAATTTGAAAAGCCACCTCCTCAATTTAGACATAAATCTGAAGTAGAAGGAAAATTTCTCCAGTACCTGTGGTACTTCTCGGCAGACAAACCACAGGACTTTCGATTCCACAGATTTTGCGAGAACGGAATATCACATGTTTTCGATGAATCTTTGCGGAATCGAGGATAGAATTCCGGATTGAATCTCTCCGGACAAGAGTTCGATTCCCTCACCACTGAGCTACCACTGCCCTAAAAATGACATAATTTTACATGTTGACCAACTGAAATATTTCGCTTTTCAAATAGGGTAACAATCATCAAAATTTCGTTGTTTTCTCCAGATTATTTTACATGAATAAACACGTGAACAAATAAATAAATAGTTCAGTTTCGAGTATTGCGCTGACTCCCCAAGAGCAGTGTATATAAAATGGGTGCATGTGTGGTATTGTTTTTTGGAATAAAGAAACTTGACAATAAGCGAAAATTAGGCTGAGGAGAATAAAGGCTGATAAAAAAAAATTTGTTCTCCAACGTCATTGAAAAAGCACTTGCTCTAGTAAAGTAAATAGCATACTACAAGTGGGGGCGATCTTATGACATTAATGCCATAGAGCCGAAGCACTGTTCTAGCTATTGCAGAGAAGGTCAAAGGTTCGAGTGGTAGAAAAACTCGTAGTTGTAGGTTCTTAGGTTACCTCAAACACGAAACAGTAATATTTTCTTCAGTAGTTCAATAGAACTGCCCCTCGCCCACACCAACTACATTGTGGTTATCGGAAGGAAAGTACAGAAAACCTTTTAGGAAGAACCTCGTAATATACATAAAACTGACTGAATACCCGTTCTTAACAAGGAGGAATCAATAAATCAGTGCTGAACAATGAATGTTACGAAATCATGTCATCCTTGTTAAACTGTTCGACTTCGTAAAGACTCCGTAAGTTCTCGATTTCATGAAGAAGATCGCATGCCTTCGTATCATCTTCAAAGATGTTTCCCAGACAGTCGCCAATCCCCCATTGGGCAACTCTAGAGCTAGGTGAATAAAGCACCTACATATCTACCTACCTACCAAAACGATTTATGTAATTTGTTTAAAATTACATTCGTGTTGAATGTCGTATTTTTAGTGCTTATTTTTCGGTTTAACCGCAATCTGCTTGCAATCATTTAATCATATGTCAAAAACCAATTTTATGAACAAGTTTTAAAGTTTTAAAAATGAGTATATTACATGGTTGAAACACTACAATCTTCAAGATTTCGAAGCAATATTAAATGTACTTGTTGTAACTAAACAGGTACTTACATAAATTCAAACGGAATCGTTCTCAAGTAAACAAATATGGAATTTGAAGAAGAGCCTCAGAGCTCAAATAAATCTTATTAGGCTAAATTAAGCCTTACCTATTGAAAC